TATCTCGCCGTTAACGAATGGGAAAGAGTCTTGGTGGTGGATGGAGTTCATATCAACCTCATGGCTCCCGATCATCGTCCCACTGGCATCATCCATGGTCGGCTGGAAATCAGCACCTGGGTCAACAGACCCCATTTGGCTTCTGTTTTGATTCTCGGCTGTCGTTTGAGGTATCGAGTAATTATAGGCGGAAGGCTGGGTATCGATATGTGACGTTGGTAGCCCGGAGGATAACAGCCCAGGGAAAGTAGATTGTGCTGTCTGTACGGGGCGTGTTGTTCGCGTGTTTGATTCGGGATACGTTGAATGCATGCCCATGTAATAAGAGGGGTCGGTGCTAATTGTCCTGGGTTGAACACTAGGGTATTTAGCGTTTGCTGCCGTGAGTGAAGGTGTCATTTCTTCGTGCGCCCTAGTTGGTGCAATAGAGTGTGGATATGTAGAGCTTGGCCCTTCGGTGTTTGTTGGTAAGACTGGATAGCTGTGGCTGTACTGCGACGAGTATGTTGGTTTATTGGGCGGAGACTCAGCCTCAGTGGCGGACATCTGATAGAGTAGACTCAGGTTGGGCTGTGAAGAATTTGTTGCTCCTGTAAGTGCCCATCCGATAGCTGTTGAGGCGTGATATGTTAGTGGTATGTTTATCAGGGATATTGACGGACTTGACAAACCTTGACTTGGATCAATGTGCGGTGACCATTTCCCATCAGATGAGATATCCGCGACCCCGGCTGCTCTTTCTGTATCAAAACCAGACTCCGCCGGTGCTTTGCCCGCACGCCAAGCTCCTGGCCCAAGAGGTTGCCCTGGAGTTATACCGGTATTTTCCATATCTTCTACAGCGTAAAGGAGGGGATCAACAATCCCCTTGGCCTTCTGATCCAGCACTGTCAAAATATACCCAGTGCCTTCCCAATATGTATTGAGGGCTTTCAAGGCCTTGTAACACCGCTGATAATTCTCTTTCGCCGCAGAGGCAAGCAGTATATGCTTCGCTGTGGACTTCCGTTCTGTTCCATTTGAGGTTTCCATAGTCGGCATCACGAACCCACTGGATTGGTTCGCCAACAATGGCTGAGGTGGGTTTGACCCAGCCCCCGAGGATGGAGACGCGTAGTAAGCACTTTCCATGAGGAATGCGCACGCCGCAATGTACATCGGCTGGCTCGTAAAAGGATTTCCAATGAAGCTCTTACCATCAACAAGCTCAGAGAAGGATAAGATATCCGCGATGGTTTTGGCAGATGACATCGACAGCTCACGACTATTCGGGTAGAGATGTTGGATTGATCCACCAAATGAGTTCAACAACGTCGGTTGGTGAAGGAGAACGATGAGAGTATGAAACCAGAAATGGAGAAGAATGAAATTTGTTCCCTCCTTGGCTTTGACATAGGCTTGAAAATTGGCTGCGTTGAAATGAAGTCTTGGGGACAAGCGTTGATAGATACCGGTCAGATCGCTTTCCATCCCAGCTAGCATCTTCAACGTGTCAGGTGTGACGAGCTTGACATCCTGAATGCCATTAATAAGGTCGGTCACCCGGCCGTACAGATGAATGATCCGAATAAGCGGTGGGAAAGGCGCGGGCCACCCATTTGGTAGCTGGGATTCAGACTGAAGAGGGAAGCAGAGTTCGATATCCTCATCGCGTAGTGTTACTGGTCTCCCGGTACCCGAAGAGATGACTCGGTCTAGAAAAAAGATACTCCAGAATGAGTCTACCCGTTCGCGCTCCCGGGCACGTTCCTCAGCCAAAGGATGTGGGATAGTCTTGGGTGTTAGATGTATATCGAGATCATCATACTGTTCCTCTCTTAGTTTCCCAGCGTGACCTGTCATCACTTCACTCGGCATGACACCGGTCTTGCCATAATTATGTTTGAGGCCTTGGAACTTCTGCAGTCCAAGGTCCTGTGCCATGCGAATGGATATTCCAAGGTACATCCAAAGTCCACTATCATGATTCGATCCGAATTGTTCATAAGCGAGTAATAAGCAGGCTTGGACGGCAGATAGAGTCGGGCATGGCAGTGAATCCACGAGAGCGCTCATCGCCCGATGGCCGAAAGGCAGACCACGATCCCACTTTTTGTCGTCGGGTGGCGGCTGCAAGCGATCGATTGGAGGAGCCTGTGGAGGGCCAAGTGACGGGTGTATTGAGAATCTCGCAGCCAGCGAACACACTGCATCTACCAACATGGTGTCAACTCTTTTCTCTTTCAGGTCCTGGAGAAATCTCTCTCGTTGTATGAAAGGGAAGCTGCAGCCCAGGTGGGCAAAGAAGAGTTCACACAAATGGGATACAAGATTCGAAACTGGAAGCGCATCATCTCGGTCATAAAATGGGATATTCGCATCGCGACTGTCCCGATTATCTGCGACAGTGGCCAGGGGTCTTGTGGGTATATCGGACGGTTTAGGGCTCCGAAGAGGTGAGGGAGAGTCTGAGGATGTGGACGGGTTACTCTTGCGAGAACCTCGAACCTGCACGACCATTTGTTTAAACCCCGGTACAATCGCGGTAGGGCCGAAGTATCGAAAATATGGGACATGCGTGCGACTTCCTGAGCTCACAGAGGTACGACCACTCGCTGGACTGTCCCCAACAGCTTGTATATCCAATTCCTTGTTCGCGAGTGAAGGAGTACCCCCAGCAGAAGGGATATCCTTCGACCCGGACGCTTTCGTTTTGCTTGACTTATCTGCGGAGGCCTTGGGTATCGTTGTGGGCACTGGTTCGGGGGAGCTGCTTTCGATTGCCCGGGAAACGTGCTGGCCTGTCAATTCGTTCGGGGCCAAAAAGCGCGGCGGCGCTCGAGATGCGGAGTCTGACTGCGTTCGCAGGTGCGCGGTCGATTCGGTGTATCCGAGACAGACATGCTTGTAGTCGGAACAAGTCTTACACACTTCCCTCGTATGTTCCATCAGCAATGTATCCACAAACGAGAGATTCTGCACATCCTACCTGGTTGTTCACCGGAACATCGAATCTTGCGCCGGCGACATGTTAAACAACTATATCAAACCAAATGTGACGTCAGCGTCTTGACGAACGAAATTATATTCAATGGAGTCCCCGGATCCACATACGCGGCATTAACACGGCGCCGCTTGGTTTGGGGCTGCCCGTCGGTTGCGACAAAGCGGATTTGTCTAGGAGCAGAAGGATTGCCGCCATTCTTCTTCTTTGGAGAAGGGGGGCTCATGGCGAGCCAATAATTATCCGTGACCTCGACCCATTGGGCACTTGCACACTTCTAGCTTCACCGAGTCGGTGGGTTCTCGGCGCGGATCTCGAATTCTAAGGTTCAGGGAGGAGGAGGATCGGAGAGATGGAGTATGGAAGGTGCGCGATAGCGAAAACTTCATCAGGAGGGAAATAAACGGGGGGTCAATATTCAAGGCCAATAAGGGATCAAAAAGTGGTATGTGTGAAGTGTTCAAGGGAGAAAAGTTGGGGAAGAGGGGAGTCAGCCCTCGTGATTGCCCTCGCTTGTACTACGCCACTCCCAGGGCACATTTTACATTTCCGTACCCTTTTGGAAATCTCACGATGTATTTGTGTAAGGTAATGTTTTGATCGAAAACATCGGAGTCGGTCCCCTCCTCCCTTGACCGCTACGCCGGAAACAGGGCCACGCCATCCCCGTTCGGGACAATCGGGTCATGGGATGTCTAGGGCGATCCTTGTGTTTTATATATCATATACTTGTAATCCCTTTACTTTTTGAAGTAGAATTACATACGTAAAGAATAAAAGGAATATACAATTAAAATACAACTAATTAAGCCCAGTAAAAAAAATTATGTAGAATAAGAATTTAGGATATCATCAAAAGCATTGAGATTCGTCGCATCAACTCCGAGTATCTGGAGTCCAGACTTTGGGGCATATGGAGCTTTAATGGGGAGAGTGGAGTGGGTTTGGGCCCGTATTTCACTCCCCCACGTTTTCATGGCATATCAAATAAAGAATCATGTTTAATACATATATTTTCTCAAACTACCTGTATATATTCTCGTGGGAATCCAAAATGGAACCTTTAGTTGCTACCTCGGTATATTTAAGCTTATTCTCGAGGGCTTGGGTTTCCCTCTTTGGGGAAATCGCTCCCCAAAAGATTCTAAAATAGTTACATACAGTATGCATACCTATGTATGTAGTATGTATTTACTAAAAGGGCCCCCCACATGGGCATTTTCCAGAAGGTCAGGTGGACGGTGCTTTTAGCCGGCCATTCGTGATATCTTTTTTTTACTCTTTGCCATCTGGTTTAAATCTATCGGTCATTCTTGCCTAGGTGAGCGCTGTTTTCGAAGTTTCTGAAAATCCTGGTAAAACTAGAGCAGCAAAAAGAACTACATGTACATACTTTCGTTCTATGGTCTTTGTTCTTGTATGTCCCGAGGGAAACAACCTTGAGATTTATATGTCCACTATTAGTGTTTTCAAATTTTATTGATCTATACCAACTTCACGATAAGCTGTTAGGGCTCACTGAGCAGAGGTTTTATCACTGGTTTACATGGAAAAGTCGTCTTGCACATTTTAAGCCGTATGCCCGCCTATACTCTAGCTACTCTAGCTAGATCACGGATAAGGGGGAAATGTCTAAACAAAAGACTACTAGAAACATAATTAAAAGGCTAATAAGAAGACTACTAAAAGACGTGACAAGGCCTCAAACGTGGCCAAATATCCTTGTTATTATTATTACAAATGGGGGGATTAGAGGAAGCTCTATGACGTGACTCGGTTTGATCTCTCCAAGGCAATTGTTCCCCGGGGATATTCCCGGGGATATCCCCGGAGTCGGCCCGATAGTCGGTAGATGAAGTATATCCACGCACCTTCTATAGTATAAAGCGGAATGTGCGTGGTAATACATAATCCCAGCAAATTCATCCGTGGCATTAAACTGCAACCGAAGCTTGTATTAGAGATAGTAAATGCGATAAGGATATCATGAAATGAAAGAACTGCCTCCATCATCTCCATGTATCTACTTAGATTTGTCTACCGAAATACTGGTCGGCCCTCATTGCTTCAACCTTAGTAAGTTTCACTGCCCTCATTTTCTAGCGAGCATGAGGGAGGTGACCCTCTCGTCACCCACACGCTACGCGGGGCAGCCCACATGCACAACTGAACAGCACAGCTGATTTATAATCTCAAGTGCTAATCGCCTCGCAACAACCCGCGCACTATTCCAACCCAATCACCCCACCCGACTCTTCAGCCACACCTGCACAATGTTAAAAGTCGACCCTGAATTCGAGAAAACCCAAGCCTCGCGGCCAGATTTTCGCCGCGGTGCCGAGATCACATACACCAAGTCTCCGAACCCCACATGGAAGGAAGGCGATGGCGCAAATGACAACGGCGAGAGCCTGGAGAAAGACCACGTCGAGATCGACCCCAACGAGGAGGGCCGGCCTGTGGCCTCAAACTATAAGTTTCTGATTTCGGGAATGGTCCCACGACCGATCGCACTCGTCAGTACCCAGTCTGCAGATGGCAAAACTACAAACCTCGCCCCGTTCAGCTACGCACAGGTCATCAACCATGACCCGCCGTTGTTCACAGTTGGCTTTGCTGGGTCGATGGAGAGAGCCAAGGATTCATTGAAGAACCTGAACGAGACTGGGGAGTGTGTGATCAACATTATCTCGGAACATTTCATTGAAGCGGCCAATTCTACTGCTATCAATGCGCCTTATGGTGTCTCCGAGTGGGAGACTTCGGGGCTGCACCAGGCACCTACCTCTATTGTGAAGCCTGCCCGTGTCAAGGAGTCCATTCTTTCTATTGAGGGCAAGCTTGTTGAGTTGAAGGAGTTTGAGAGTCGTGTCACCCCCGGTAAGAAATCTGGTGTGCTTGCTATCATTGAGGGTGTTCGTTTCTGGGTTAGGGATGATGCTATCAACGAGGAAAGAAATGTCGTCGATTTGAAGGTCCTTAAGCCTATCAGTCGCCTGGGTGGTATCTCGTACGGTCGAACCACGGAAGCGATAGAGATCCCTAGACCGCAATATTAGGGCTCTGATTTCATCTGATAGAACTTTGTCATTGAGGATTTTGAAGGAAAGTATATAGATTCTGAAATCAAATAAGCTTTTATAACTTTGGTTGATGCACAATCTGGAAAGCATATGGCACTGGTTATAAATGGAGATCTCGTTTTGCATATTTTAAGCCGTCATTATCACCTATACTCTAGCTACAAAATGCTACCAAAAAGACGTAACAAGGCCGCATGATCGGCCGACTATTGTACGACATATTTTGACATCTAGCTGCGTATCTGGGCAAGGAATTCTACCGCACTCCTGGGCTATTGACATGCCCGGCGCGACCCCGACGGGTTAGAAACACCAGCCCGGACCCATTCATTTCTTCGGCATGGGTTTACCTAGCTCCACGGCTAGGAAATTACCTAAGTAAATTTAGATTGAATCTCAGAGGCTCTCCGAGATTCTTACTAGATATATCGCCGAAGGTTTAAAGGCTCTTTGGTGAGATATTTTACACTTGTAGATATCAGATTGACGGAGGATAAGCAGCTCCGACTCAAGCCGTATCTCGTGTGGAGGGCAAAGCGGGGTTGATAAGTGTCTCCAACTGTAGAACTATAAATCGGAGGACGCCCATTTATCAAAGTACAACCCCCTTTCATCTTCTTTTCTGTAGTCAAAAAAAAGCGCAATAATGTCACTGGAGCAATACGAAACTTTCAAGCTTGGAGACTGGGAGCTCCAGAGCGGGCAAAAAATCGAGGATGCTTATATCGCATACAAGACATTCGGCGATCCCAAATCTCCTGCAATCGTCTATCCAACTTGGTTTTCTGGAGGTATATCTAGATATGATCCTATATTCTCTCCAGTACTTCTCTAATACTCTCTTTAGCTCTTTCCGACAACTTCTGGTTGATCGGAGATGACAAGCTCCTGAACCCGAACAATTTCTTCATCATAGTTCCAGCCCTGTTCGGAAATGGACAGTCCTCCTCTCCATCCAACCAGCCTAGTCCCGGGCCATTCCCAAAAGTGTCATTTTACGACAATGTGCGGGCGCAGCATGAGCTCGTTACCAAACACATGGGCATCACACATTTGCGCGCCGTTATTGGTTGGTCTATGGGAGGGGCCCAAGCCTTCCAGTGGGCAACGCAGTATCCTGAATTCATGGATATTGTGGTCCCCTTTTGTACGGCCGCGAAAACTTCATTGCACAATCAGGTCTTCCTTGAGGGAGTCAAAAGCTCCTTAATTGCAGTGAAGAAGAGCCGATCTGCGGGATCGGGAGAGATTGGTCTCAATAGAGAGGCGGCAGAGGCGCATGTTTGGACAGCTGAAGAGAAGGATATTGGCCTCAAGGCATTGGGCCGTGTGTATGCTGGATGGTAAGAAATTTCGTGTTGAGCTTTGTCTTTTATTGCCTATCTGATACATTGATAATAGGGGATTTAGTCAATCTTTTTATCGAGACAGGTTGTATGAAACCGCGCTGGGTTTCAAGGGACTTGAAGACTTCATGGGCAACTTCTGGGAGAAATGGGCTTGTTCCAAAGGTGCAGTTGGATCCCAATGAACCAATTGTATCAGAAAACTGACAAATACCTTAAAGAACCCGAAAATCTGCTAGTCTTGCTCCAAACCTGGCAAATTGGTGATGTCTCGCAGCAAGAGCCATACAATGGGGACTTTGAGAAGGCGATGGCATCCATCAAAGCAAAAGCGTTGGTTCTGCCGTCAAAAACCGATCTTTACTTTCCGTAAGTTGAAATCATCCGTTCTATCTTTGATGTAAATTGAGACTAACCTGAGAATTAAATCACATTAGGCCTGAAGACTCGGAGTACGAGGTTTCGTGTATGAAGCCAGGTATTGGAACACTGGATATCTTCCCTTCGATCTGGGGTCGTAAGTATACCATTCCAAATTTCAAGTAATAATGAAGCTAAATAGGCGATAGATTGGGCAGGAGGTCCAGGCGATAGTATGGAGGATGTTAAATGGCTTGATAATAAGCTCTCTCATTTTTTTGCAGACAACAAAGGTGATGGGGTCAATCTCTGACCGAGAAGATCAAAAGCACACTCGGCTAACTAACAAAGTCACAAAATATGATAATGTAGCGTTCTAATATGATTTGGGTCATAAATGAGTTGACGTTACAATCGTAATGTTAGCTCGTCGTCGCCAAAAAAAGGTAGATAGATAGTGATCATGTGATGCTGAGTAAGCACCTGCCCTGGCCCTGGAAGCGCCGATGAACCTTGCGCGGCGACCAACTTCCTTCTTCGATTCGATTTCTCTTCCTGTTTCTGTCTTTACTTCCCGTTTCGCTCAGGAATTGTATTTGTTTTTCATCGATTGTTTTCACTTACCCAGCAGCACCTAATTTTCTTCCTGAGCTGCTTGCCTCGGAAGCTCGTCGACAACTCTGCTCTCGTTATCTAATCCCTATCTTCACACGGCTTGAGAGACTATATCTCGAATATTACCATCTCGGCTTCCTCCCCACAATGGCTACGCCACCTGTCCGACAATGGGGTGTTACACCCCCGATCTCGACCGTCCTGCCTACCAAGGATGAGATTTCGGCGAACGACGATCTTATTGCCGAGCTCAAGGCCCAGAACAACTTCGAGCTACCGACTGAAACGGAACGGAGGTGTGTTCGCATTTCAACAAAACAAGCGCCAGAACCCCAAAACTGATAATCGCGGAATAGAAAACAAGTTCTCCAGTTACTTCAGCGCGTCACAGTGGAATTTGTTCAAGTCGTCAGTCGCAAGAAGGGTCTTTCACCTGCTGCTGTTGAGGCTTCTGGTGGTAAAATCTTCACGTATGGAAGTTATAGACTGGGTGTATACGGACCAGGTCAGTGTTCATCTATGTATGGACCCAAGGTCTCATGCCCGTATTGACAATGATGGCTTGCAGGCTCCGATATCGATACCCTAGTCGTTGGACCTAAACATGTCCTGATCGATGATTTCTTCGCTGAATTCCCCCCTATCCTCCAAAGAATGGCTTCCGAAGGAGCCATTGAAAAGATGACTCCTGTGCCCGATGCGTTTGTTCCAATTATCAAGCTTGAGCTGTGTGGAATCAGTATCGATCTGATCTTTGCCCGTCTTGTCGTTCCTGCTATCCCGATGAACCTGGATTTGAAGAACAATGATTACCTCAGAGGACTGGATGAACGAGAGGTGCGATCGCTAAATGGAACTCGTGTCACAGATGAAATACTGGAGCTCGTCCCCCAACAAAAGACATTCCGCCTTGCATTGCGTGCAATCAAACTCTGGGCCCAGCGTAGGTGTCAATTACACTTATTTATCACCATCCAAATTTTCTAATTATCTGTATAGGACGAGCAATCTACTCGAACATTGTCGGATTCCCTGGTGGTGTTGCGTGGGCTATGCTGGTAGCTCGGGTTTGTCAACTATACCCGCAAGCAACTGGCTCTGTGATTGTGGGAAAGTTTTTCAGAATTATGAACAAGTGGAATTGGCCTCAGCCTGTCTTATTGAAACAGATCGAGGATGGACCCCTTCAGATAAAAGTCTGGAACCCAAAGGTAAGCAAAACCCACTGCTTCGCTGACGATGTGGGCTAAGAATTATCAGATTTACCATGGTGATCGATTCCACCTTATGCCCATCATCACTCCTGCGTACCCCTCCATGTGCGCCACCCACAACATCAGTCTGTCTACCAAGGCTGTTATTCTCAGGGAGCTACAGCGAGGTGGCGACATGGTAGACAAGATCTTCATGAAGCAGCTTTCATGGCAGGATCTATTTGCGCGCCACACATTCTTCACCCACGACTATAAGTACTACCTGAGTATCACCGCTTCGAGCAAGACCAAGGAGGCCGAGTCCGTGTGGTCAGGTCTTGTGGAATCGAAGCTGCGTCACCTTGTTGGCGCTTTAGATCGAAAGGCAATTGTTGCGGTAGCCCACCCATTCCCCAAAGGATTTGAAAGGATTCACCTCATCAAGAATGAGCAAGAAATGGAAGCAGTCAAGAATGGATCTACACAACATCAGGCTAAAGGCACAAAGACCGCGATGACCGATGAGACTAAGGATGCTGCTCACCAAGCCGCAGTCCAGAACACCCTCGAAAATGCAGAAGTACCAGGGCCGGCTGAGGGCAAGGTCGAGGGTACAGTCGATAACGATGGCCAGACTGTCTACACGACGACTTATTACATCGGCCTGGAGCTGAAACCTCTGGAGCCAGGTAATCGCACCACTCTCTCTATATGACACCTCTCTAACTTTTTTTTAAGGCCAATCTCGATCTCTAGATATATCAACCGACTCGCAGATCTTCAAGTCGACTTGCACCTCATGGCCAGGATACCTGGAAGAAGTCATGGAGTTGGCCGTCACCCATGTTCGCAAGTAAGTTCCTCCTCTGTCTGCGACTTGTGTGGATTTCATCTAAAGCCCTCTAGCTTTGATTTGCCCGACGATGTCTTCCAGCCCGGTGAGACCCGGGCATCTCGGCCAAAGAAGAAAGTTACCAAACGGTCAGAGACAGCCGGCCAGAAACGCAGCATTGGCGAGTTGGACGTAAGTGTCCCGAAACGAGTGAGATCGGCCTAACCTGGCAAAACATCAACCGTGGAACCCGTGATCCAACGTCGTGCGAATCAAACCCCCAGGATTTCGACAACCAAGAATAACTAATACCAACTTCCATCCCCAGAGTTCAACCGAAGGAGTCGCGAAACGCCAAGTTACCTCCGCAACTCCCGCCTGAACGACTCCCTCCTCTCTCCTTCGCTCCCTCCATCCCGCCGGGGCTGGTCCCCAATATGATATTGATACCAGAACCTCAAATTGCTTGTGGTCTCTGACCTAATAATGCAGTTTGCAGTTCTACCTTTTACCAACCAAACATCTAACTCCTCGCCATCTTCGAGCGTTACCCTTCTCTACAGTGAACGTCCCGTGCTCTCGGAGCACAAGGTTGGTTCGTTCTTCTCTTCGTCTTTTGTCTTTCGTCTTTTGCGTTGCTTGCCCAACAGCTAGACTAGACACCTTTTTTTTCCCCGCCCTTTGGCAGTTTACATCTTACTGGGCCTACTTCTCACGGCACATATGTATATGGGTCGGATTTATCCATTATCTCGTCTATCTGGTTGGTGTAGTATTTTGTTGTCAGTGGAACAGGCGGCTTCCCTCTGCCCAGGTGGGCATATTCATTCGCCACCTTGAAGATAGTTCAGATAGTTGAATGCAAGGACGTGTCCCACAGTATGTGGGCTACACATAATCCACAAATTGCCTTTCTGATTACATCCCAGTAACATTGCTCTTAGTTGTTTGTCTTCCTTCTAGCTTTGACCAACATGCGTATCGCTATTATATAGTTAGTAACTGCAACACTGTAATGGGCATCTACCTCACATTGCATATTAGCTCAGACTAACTGCACTAACCCCGCCCCGAAACAATACCTCCAAGTACTGCACGAAAAAGTCCATTCACCATGCGACTCCACCTTGTGTATTATTAATATAGAGATACCATGCATTGTCGTACTACAGATTTCTGTCAGTAGTTCCACTACAGTTAGCTCTCCTCTCCTCAGTGCACTTGGTATTTCTACACACCTACGTATACATTGTAGTTATCTTGGTCTATCGCTCGGGTTGTGAGCATCTTGCTTTGCTCGGTTGAAGTGTTTAACGGCATATATATTTAACATCCGTGTCCTCCCTTGGCGTCGCTTCGCACCAATTTTCCTAGAATTCATATCATGACTCCCTAGTTCTTCCTTTTATTCCTGTAGGCCCACAAATACCTCAAAGTTAACAAATTAATAGTTGAATGGTCTAACATTGAGGTTTGTAAATCGACCCACAACAATCCTCGAAGGCTTGCCACCGAGGAAACATACCTCATCCATTATCCTCAATGTCCACGAGGTTATGAACCTTTCTTCATTTGACAGGGACCGAAAGCAGACGACCTTTTCCAACAACCTGAGGTTTGACTGTGTACATCCCTAGTTATACATAGAAAAAATTCTCTCGTACAATTCGTCTTTTACCCCGTGGTATACACCCCCAGAAATATAAATGAATAGACATGAAAAAAGAGATGACAAGCGGCCAACTAAAAATAATTGGCAAAAAAATGCTCACATGCCGATTTGAACGACAGACCTCGTGATAGACTAGACAATACTAGTCACGCGCTCTACCAACTGAGCTATGCGAGCTGATTATATTTGGAGTTTGCAAAATATGTTTAAGACCGAGATTTAGTTTGTATTCAACTAAACAGTTTATACCATATTAGGTTTCCTAGGTCATGTGATATCGAAAAGGCTATCCTGTGCTCCCGAGAGGTTTGCAGGGTTTGCTTACTCTCGGTGCCCGAGGCAGCCACTTGCTGGATGCCTCAGGACACTACTTCTTGGCACTCGGCCAAAGTCATTGGTAGCGAGTGCCTATTACTAAGGGGTTTTTCTGGGCCAAGCCCTTGCTTGGCGCTGATGTAATACATTCTATATTTAGCTAGTAATTACTACTACCTAATAAAAACCATACGATCCTAATAGAATCTTATCTAGTAGTATATCTTACTAAGGCCTTACCTCCTATAGTAAGCTAGGAGGAGGTAGTGGCATCCCTATAGGAAGCTACGCTTCCTCGCCGGTTCCTAGGACTAACAAGTATACCTAGGAAGCTAAGTAGTAGGTAAGGGCTTCGAATAAGCCCCTACTACGAGGAATTTTCGATCTAGGGACTACGAAGTAGAGTATAGTAGACCTCTTACTAAGCCGGTACTAAAGATTTAGTGATAGAGGTATACTAAGAAAACTCTACGAGAGGTTAAGGATCCGTATCCTTAGGGGCGAAGTAGGGGCCCCTAAGAAGTAGAAGTAGTTAGGAAAAGAATAGGGTAAGTAGCTCCTAAAACTAAGTACTAACTTACCGAACCCCTAAATTAAAGCTACTTATTATAATAGAGAACTAACCCTTTAAAGAAGAGTAATAGTTCTAATAAGCGGAGACGACTGTTACGCACTAGCTAACTAGTCACAGTTAGGTTAGATAGGTTTAGGGTATACTTGCCTTAATACTCCTCGAATGGTCTAACGTTAATGATCGGATCTTAACTAAGCTAATGCCGCGTAGGGCCTTATAGTAGCCTAAGTCCTTTTGAGCGATTAAGGAACTAATACTAGGTAGAGCGCCGAGTAGATCTATACCGGGGTATTAGTCTACTCGTAAGTATTATTAAGTTATAATCAAGTAAAGAGTTATAGTAATCCAAAAGGTAAATATAAGTAATAATATATAATTAAAGACGAAGAACTAAACTAGATATATAAATAAGTGTCCTTATATATCCCTAAGTTCTTCCTATATAGAATAGTAGATAGTAGAATAGTAGAATCGCCTTAGCGGATTCTACTAATCTACTTACTACCCTTCTACTACCTATATAATTACGTAATACTAAGTAGCGGTTATCTAGTACGTAGAGTAACCTATATATCGGAAATCCTCTATAGGGTAGATCCGCTTAGGGCGGATTATACTCTTACTTAGTAAGCTTATACGTAATCTACTAATAGATATCTTAGTTAGCTCTCGATAGCCTATTAATATACCTAGTAGGTTACTTCTAATTAGTAATAGATAGGTCCGTAATATTACCTCCCCTCTTCCTAGGAGTTTTATCCCTAAGACTTATAAAACTATAGTACCCCCCCTTTAGGTAGGTAATAGATTTCTTTTCCTTAAAATAATACTTTCTTATTATATCTAAATAAAAGGCTAACTCTATTTCTTTACTTACTCCTAAACTTCCCTCTAATTCTTTTAATACTTATTATTATTAGGCGATTTATATTAAGGATAATAGTTTTACTACCTTTATTTCTTATAATTATTATAAATCGGTAGGTATTACTTATCTAATAGATCGTTCTTATTAATATTCGAAATATATCTTATATACTCGCGCGGGTCGCTTATATAAGCGTAACTTTTATATTAGTCGGGAATAGGATTTATTACGTCGTATCGAAACTAAACTTTCTTTAGATCTTAAAATAAACGAAAGTAAACTCGATTTATTAGAACCCGAGTTAAGTAAACTATAAGCTTATCTTATAGAGCTATATTAAAAATTATTAAATAAATAAAAATAATACTAGGAAGTAATATCTAGGTAACGTCGGTTATATAAATAAATATCCTTTTTAAAATAAAAAGATTTTAAAATATTAGAATATAATACTAAACTTCTTTAAATTCTCGATAAAAAGTAAATATCCCTAGAGTAGGCTTCTCCTTTTACTCTCGATCTTAAGTAGCTTACTACTATTACTAATTATCCGAACTTTAATTAGATACTAGCGGAGATTGCTAATCTCTCTATTTCTTTCTAGGATAAATCCGGTTTTATACCCTCCTCGCTTTCTATTATATAGGGGTCTTTTTCGCCTATTAGTAATACTATTAAACGAGCTAGTAGTAGCCCCTTAGGTTCTAGATAGGTTCCTATATATTTTCTAAGGTAGGATACCCTTTCTACTAAACTAAGAGTTATTACTAACTATTATACTATTTATTTAATAGGATTTATTCGACTTTATATTTGTCTTCGGTTTCCTCGATTTCTATATTAGTTATAATTTCGGCGTTATCTAGTATTAGTTCGAGTAATAAGATATAAAATACTATATAGAGTTTTTATATACTTTCGGGTAGCTTTAAGCGATAATTTATTAGTCCTAATTTTTCCTTAATCTTAAACGGTCTTAGTCGTAGGTAGTCTAATTTATTACTAGGTCGCTTAGTTTTAATATTACGTTATAATAGGTAAACCTTTTCTCCCTTCTTAAGATTAGGTCCCTCTCTATAGTAATTATTATAATATTTCTTTATATATAGATTAATAAAGTTAATATCTCTAGCTAGTTATATATATAACTTTCTTAGTCTACTAGTCTTTAGTCTTACTAATTCTACTATAGCTATTTTATTAATTAGTTCTCCGAATACTATTAGATTATATCTATAATTCGTAAAGAATAGTATTTCGTTAGTCGTAGAGTACGCTATATTATTATATACTAGCTATACTATTAGTAGTAGTCCTACCTAGTTATTTTACTAGTAATTTACGTAGTATTATAGGTACTATTTTACTATCTAATTTACTCTTTCTATCTAACCGTTAGTCTATAGGTAGTATATAGTAGAGAGTCTAAGCTTAATATCTATCTAGTCTATAAAAGACTTCTATATATTCGATATAAATAGCTTATCTCTATCCGATATAATCTTACTCGGTATCCTATAGTTTATAACTATATATTAAAGTATAATATTCGCTATTTAATTAGTATCGATAGTCTCTATAGTCGGAATTATATAGGCGTACTTAGTAAGCCTATCGACTATAACTATAATTATATCGTATCTATCTAAGATTAGTAATTTTATAATAAAGTCTATTATAATCTATTCTTATAGTTAGGTTAGTATCTTAGATAACTATAATTCTTTATAAGGTATATATCGTATAGATTTGTTTCTTTAGTACGTATCGTAAACGTAAATATAGAATCGAACCTTTCGCTATATATTTAGAAAATAGTAATTTCGCGTAATATATTCGATAGTTTTTTCTACTCTTATATATCTATATAAGATATTATTATAGTATCGATATATAACCTCTTCTCTTAGCTTACTTAGGATATATATTAGTCTATATATATAGAGTAATCTT